ATAAAAAGAGATAATTGGCGAAAAACCTGCACAAAGATTATGAACTTTGCGAATTTCGGAAGGAGATGGTGACACGGCAAATAGAAAATTTCTTCTTTGTGTTAAAAAAATAAATATTAACTATTAATTTTTTATAATAGTACGCAAGTATTTTTTCATTACTACAGTCAATATCATTGTTTCTGAAAAAGTATTAACTATTAATTTTCATTTTATTTCATTTTATTTTAAATAGCAAATGGGTGTAAGTGTTTTTTCAATATTATTATTATTGTTTAAAGCAATTAACTGTTTGTTGTTGATTTTTTCAATTCTCTGAAAAAAAAAGGTTCAGTTTGCTGGAATTGGGGCCCTAATTGTAAAGTAGTTAATAAAAATATACATATTGTGATCATTTCAATAGTCTATATATAGGTTCCTGATTGTCAATCATTATTAATATGCGCCAAATGTTTTTTTAATAATAATTTTTCATCAGTACTGACTTCCTACTACCTAGGTAATACCCGACCGGACCAGTAACAATCTCTACGACGTAGTTAATTGAGAACTGAATAAAAATAACTTCTTGGGCTGTTTGGCATATCTGTTCTTTCTGAAACGTCAAAAAAAATTTTTTTTAATTATTTTCAAGAGGAATGAATAGCCTCACATAAAGTTAATTTGGAAATTATTTTGTGTGAATTATTATTTTATTTACTTTATTTAATAAAATTATGAGCCTTTATTAGAAAAAAAAAAATATGCGCCAAATGTTTGTCATAATAATAATACGCTTTCAGAATGTTACACGTAATATATTTTTCAATAGTGATTGGAGTCTGATGGCTATAATAAGTAGTTGTTGAATTTCCTACATGGCAGCATTTTATAATAATCCACCAATTTATTCGAGACAATATTTAAAAGTATTATTGTTATTATAATAACATATGATGTACAAGCTTAGTCAATTTCAGAACTGTCAGGATAATTTCCTTTTGGAACATAATCATTTCATCACTTTCATCATTTTGATTATAATGAGATTGCTTATTTTTTTATTTTTAATGATAAGTTATGAGTTTGGATATTTTTATGTCATTTTCAGAGCATTTTTATCCTTTGGATGTTTTTTGCCGAAATTTTCTTTGGTTACATATAAAACCTTCCCAATTTGGTTCAGAGAGTATCACTTTCTAATATCTATTATTGATCTATATAAAAAAATTCGGTCATTGTCCTTGTGGGTTTTTTGTAAAAAACTCTTTTACTTTTTTTAAATTGATTGATTATCTTTAAATTGACCAATTATAATAATAAAAGTTATGAAAATTGTGCCAAAAACGAATTTTATTTTCTTATAAATATATCAGTTGTTCAATGGATGATGAAAAATTTTGTGTTAAACAAATAAATAAAAAATTTGTTACACGAAAAAATATATTTTCACTTTTTGCTTTATTAAATGCACCAATCGAGTTTTTAAAAAATTGCATTTCTTTTTTTTTTTAAAAAAATTTTCCTAAATAAATAACGCGTTATAAGTGAGTTATTTTAATTAAATCTATTTCAAATAAAAAATTTTTATCTTATACTCACTTATTTTCTTTCACACAAATTATTATTGCACATATACTCCAAGCAACTAACAATCACTTGCTAAACAATTAAAACTTTAGATTAACTATATTATTCAACAATAAAAAAAATGAGTCTCGAACAAATTTGGCATGAATATAAACATAACCATGATGGTGATCATTATACAGATAATGCTTCTGTAGTTTTTGTCCCGACAGCTTCTGGTGCACGAGGTTATGATGCTGTTAGACAATTCTTGGCAAAGGCATACGATACTCGTGTGCTCAAAATAAGTGAAAAATTGATTTACTCGACAGTTGGAAATGATTCCATCGTTGAAGAATCGGAAACTACAATTCAGTTTGTTAGTGGTGATGGTTCCTGGGTTGTACCTGGTGTTGACAGTAGATACACAATTGATAACAAAGTTGTCATTCCAACGGTAGGTTTATTGACCCATTTATGAGTTATGAGGATATCTGATGAAAAATTATTTTGAGGCTTTACAGACTTTTTGTCCTGCTTTTCATGTAACGTTATTATTTTTTTAATCAAAAATTGTATGCATGTACGTATATAATAGGTAACTTCGGCAAAATTTGAAGGCGATAGAATCTCATCAATTGTGAGTAATTATTAATAATGTAGTTAATTACTACTATTACTAGCGTTTTTATTATTAGAGAATATACACTAATTCACACACTAAAAAAATTATAATTATGATAATTTTTTAATATAGCGCGTTTATTGGGATCAAGCTTCTGTTCTGAAGCAGCTTAAATTGTAATTATAAAAGATTTTATTAATTATATTAATAATCATTTACACCATTACCATTATCATTATTGTTGTTAATTTGTTGTTATATAGAATATCTGAGAAAAGCGCTTGGCCAATAGTAACTGATAGACAGGCTGAATCATTAACTAATATTGCAAATGCACATCTCAATCCATTTGGTAAAACGGTTCTTAGTGCTGGTTTGTCGCAAATGAACTCCAATGGTAATATTGTTTATTAACAAAATTTTTTCATTTTATAAATAATTAATCGCATAGCTGTTAATATTAACAATCAAATTTAAAAAAATTTGCAGAACAACAGCAAAGACAACAGCAGCAACAACAACCTCGTCATAATGTTCATACTTCTAGTCGTGTTAATCAACCTGGCGGTACTGGTGGCAAATCTTCAATCATTTTCAGCAACGAGACTGATGATCGTATGAATTTTTGAATTTTGAATTTTATTACTTTTCTTAAAACAAGAAGCGATCCTTTATCTTATTTTTAAACCCGTTGTTTCAACAAATAGCTGTTGTTAGTCGTACCAGATTCAATTCAAACAAGAATGCATCACAATTCTCTATTGGTGATGACGACGACACTGCTTCCCAAGCTGATACATTATCTGGACATTCAACTCGTCAAACTGTTAAACCTTCAAGCCGGTAAATATTTACTATATTGCTGTTGTTGTACTTTTAAAATTATATTTATTGTTATTTTTGCAATAACGCTAACAATAATTCATATATATATGCTATATATACTTTAGTGTCTTGAAACCTCCTGGTGGTGGTGGTTCTCAAATTACCTTTGGTTAAAAAAAAAAAAACTTTTAAAGGTGCTGCCAACAATTTAAACTATAATAAAAAAAAATATATTCATTATTATTATTGAAATTTCTTTTATTATCAGAATTTTTTTCCTAAAATTTTTTTGTTCTTTTTATTGTGTTCGTATTTATATTATATTGATACATTTTGCAGCTTATATTTAACAAAAAAAAAAAAAAGGAGGAATAAAATTTATTAGGATAATGATAAGACACTTTTCATTATTATAATGAAAAAGATCAATTATCTTCATTTATTTAACCCTGACTGATTATAATACAAAATAATAAAGAAAATTAAACGCTATTTTTATTATTAATTATTAATTATATAGATAAAATATGTTACTAATTCCATAAAAACTAAAAATTTTGCTTGCGAGTAATAAAAATAACCCAACCGATATTTAGTATTAGTTGATGGATGATGATCCGTCGTCTATGAACCAGGGAGTTTGCTCCCAAAGTAAAAAAGGATATTTCAATAACAAGCAAAGAAAAATCATTGTAAGGATGTCTGTGTAAAAGAAATGTACTATATGTATAAATAAAGGAATTTTTAGTAACCTCTTACATTGAACCTATGCTAATACCAAGTACAAGTCCTACGTAGACAGCCTACAATAAGGTGTCTCGGGTGTAAGCCCTAACGTCGCAAACGACTCTTGTTGTTTTTCTGTAATATACTTCAAAGCATATTACGAACTCCGTTTTACATCCCTGTTAATTGTGGATTTGCAAGATGTACAACATCTGCATGTTTTGTTAGTATATTCCTCAGTGCAGACAATGATGACCTTGCATCAAGGGACCCGCGGATTTGTGGAGCAAATGTTGGTGAAAACGGTAATGTGACCATGCAGTTTTAGAGTAGATTTTTCTAGACCGTGTTTTTTAACCATGTCTTTTGTTTTAAATTCGGGGAGCAATACTACATGATGGCTTTCACAAAATTATCTTGCTGATCTTCTCCACACTTAAGATTACGAATTTTCTTGTGAATCTGGAGCATTCATCGACAGAGAAATGATGCCAGTGCCTCTATTTTCTTCGACCACCGAAAATTTAGGAATTTGGTTATCAGCCTTAGTTTCGAGTGGTTTGGAGGTACAAAATAGAATTCACCAAGACGATTCATGATGAGACATGGAGGTCATAATTTATTTCAAGAATTTCTTCTCTTGCTTCAATATCCGAGAAATGAATAATGACCACGATGTTTTCTGATAGAATGGTGATTGACTGCAATTTATCCTTTTTAAAGCAATTTAAAAGGTCAATCATTTCTTGCATCCCTATTACCAATACTAATGTCAAGAACCCTATCAAAGACTAGTGTCTTTAAATTTTTCAGCGCTACAATTTTCACGTAAACAATTTTTTTGTTTTTTTATATTATGATTAATCGCAGCTAGGCATCGGTTGTACGTTAATATTTTGCTTTTTCCTCCGAATTAGGGTAAAAGTCTAATTTTAAGAGTTTTCCCGGTGGAAGTTTTTTGGAAAGGAGATCAAAGACGAAGGAATAACACCCTCGACTTTAAAAGAAGATGAAAAAGAATTACACCTTTAAAATTCTTTCATGTTCCATCTGGTAAAAAGGAAAGACTATTTAAACCTTTAGGTGTTGGTTTAGCTGACTCAATTGTAATCCATGAACCAAGAGCTAGTCTTTTTAAAGAGTCCTTCCATTGACTTGAGCACGGTAATTAGCTATTAGTTTTTAAGGGTAACCAACACCAATTGAATGAATTCATCCCAGAATGGCTTATATCTTCTTACATTCGAAGAAGTTGGTTTGTCACAGTCAACTGAAGAAGATTTTCAATAAAAAAATAAAATTTTGCAAAATAAGAAATTTTTTTAAAAAAATTGAATATGGCAAATATCATAAATAGACGTTTATTTAATAGATCGTAAAATGGCAGTCTGCACTTGACGATCTTCACAAAACACGTGACAATAAAATCTTTTGATTCTCAAAAACTGACGTTGTGGCACAGAAAGTTGTAAGGGCCAAGTGTCTTCATTATAGTAGAATATATTGAATACCAGTTTTAATTGTTGAGGGTCTTTTGTGGTTCGTTTTTATTATTGTTATTAAATTTTGAACCTTTTATTTGTTTGCCTCCTCCTCTCTTTGGTATGGTGGGTGGTTGTTGTTACAGTTAATCGAAATAATTTTTATTTTTTTAATAATGTTTCTTTCTTTTGATTCATATTTCATCATTTCGATTATTACACAACCACATAAATTAATGCAAATGATCCAAATAAAAATTATTGAAGATAATTTATGGGAAAGTTTAGTATGTGTCAATCAGTCACTCTTTATGAAATGATTATTATTTATTTTTATTATATTTATGAGGATATACATTTCCAAATTCATATAGGACCATAGAAATATTATCCTATACTTATCAAGTGCTGGTAGAAATTCAAATATAAATGATAATCATCATATGTATTTCAACTGTTTTGATAGTGAATCTTCTCACACCCATCACCTTTTCAAGGCCCAAATGAATATTGTCGGATGTCAAGTTAAACTGATTTTATCAAGATTTTGTTTGATAATGGAACATCCTAATATGAAATCGATATGAAATTTGTAATAAGAGCAAGCTTGGTTTGAGAAATGGAAAGACAATTGAAAAGGATTTATATGATGAATTTGTGCGAGTTAAAAGATAGATACAGAGTTATAAAAACATCAAGATAGAATGTTAATATATATATATATGAATGCATGCATATACATACATGTAGAAGATATATTCATTGAATTTTTGAATTTTGTTGTTAATTCTAGCAAATAGCAATATATTTTAATATTATAGATATATTTAAATTTAACTTTTCACTGTAATAAATAATTCAATCAATCAATCATTCAATTATCAATGCTGCTGAATCTTCGATAAATTCTTATGGCAATATCATAAAATGATTTTTCTTTCTCTGGATCGAAATTTGTTGCAATTGTTGATTCTTTACTGCTTAAAGAGAAAAAATAATGATATTTGTTTTTTTTAAAAATAATAATAACATTGATAATAATAATAATAATAAAAGCTATTTATTTAAAAGCATTTTTTACCCTATTTCAACATTCTCGTCATATTTAGAAAGAATAATTTGAGAAGGTCTTCTTAATGCACTAATACTGTATGGTCTATCATTTATATGATGATGACCTGTGTACGAAGATGAAGATGTTCTGGATCTTAAAGTTGAATCGATTTGTGATTGGTGTGAACTTGCAAATGTACTATTATTGTATAGGATTTTATTCCTGGAAGGTGTTGTATCAGCTAATAACGAAAAATCTTCTGGTGAACTTGGAGTTCTAATTATGTTCTTGGACATCTCACGCTGTTCCTATTCATTAGTTTTTATCGTTAATAACTATTATATATAAATAATAATATAAATATTTTTCTTATTATTACCGATATTAAATCATTATCAATTTTATTAGATGATCCTTGTTGTTGTGATTCATAACTATTCTTTTTTGGAAAATTACCTAAATCTGCCAGTAATTCTAAGAATAATAATAATAACAATGATTACTTTTAATCTACAGTACAACTAGAATAATTAAGGAATAAATAAAAAACCTTCGGGCTTAAATGAATAAGGATATGGTGCTGGAATATTTCCTACGCCAAATTCCCATTCTGATATTGGTGGTGATATTAAATTTTTCGGTTTTTTGAATGCATCATAAATAGTTTCTTTTGAAGACATTTTATAAATGAAGGCAATAATGATAATAATAGTGTATTTTTTGTTTCACAAAAGATTTCTCCCGATTCACGTCAATTATCTACCTGTGCAACCTAAAAATTGATGCCAACCAACTTGTTTGTTGTACTTGGTCATCAACCGGCGCAAGTTTTAATTCAGAAATGATTATATAGAATGATTTTGATTGGTTCTCCCATTATACTGACATGTCGTTATAACAGAATAAATTCTATAATTCTAAAAAAAGTTGACAAATTATGTCATTATATATACTAGTATAACGAGATAAATAATAGGTGTCATTTAATTTCGTTGTTTGGCAAAACAATTACCATCCCATGTATAATCATAAACAGAAAATGTTATTATTATTGTTAACAAATCATGTGTAGATGTAAAATTTATTTAATTTATTCGAGATAATCAATTAAATATCTTCTGAATAGATTATAACAATAAGATTAATTATAGTACTTATCCAATATGTAAAAAATAAAAAAAATAATACATTTACGACTGCCTTTTATGCCTCAAGGACTAAATTAGCTAACTTAAAAAAGCGAGTCAATCATACAGCATCCATGTATAAATAACGTTTTTTATTAGTATGTACTTTCCAATATGTAATAGATAAAAAAAAATAATACATTTATGACTACCTTTTATGTCTTGAGTCAATCATACAGCATTCATGTATATAAGGAAGTCAATTTCATTGAATTATTTTTTAAGAATGATAAAGATTCTGGAATGAATCCAAAATATTAGATGTTGAAAAACCCTGAAACTTACTGAAAAACAAACAAAATTGCAAATGGCAATTTCTGATGTGAATTTTTTTGAATTATGTTTATTGTTATAAATGTTTATTGTGTGTATTAATTAAATTTAAATATTTATACCAGTTTGATTATATCATTGGAAAATCTGAGGAAGAAACAACCCATTCTAAATTAATTAATTGGGAAAAGGAGACATGACATTCTGGAAAAATCAATTGAACATCCTATGAAGGTAATACACAGTTTGTAAACCAAATGAGTTGTTGTATGAATGTAATTTACACATTCTTTGCAATTTAATCTATATAGCATAAAAAACTCAATGGATCGAATCAATTTTAGTAATGTGACACCACCTCAGGTATGAAAGTGTATATATACTTAAAAAATGACAAAGTCTAGACGGTAAGTAACTCATTAATTTTCTCCCAGAATCTTATAATGAAATTTCTAGATCTCAACAACTCAAATGAAGATGAAGATGGAAATGAAGGGGGAGAAAATAGTAGTGATGATGATATATTTGATGTAAATTCTTATTCATCAGTATTTAATACAATTTCCAAAAAAGAGACAGAATGGAAATTAAAAAATGGAAAGTTGGTTACAGAAGACAGTGGAGGCTTCTAAAACAAGTACTAAGAAACCAAATTACTGACAATCTTAATTACAGCCTTGGATTGTCATGCATTGTAGATCTAACATCTGAATTTGAAAATGGAATATATACATTCTTTGTGGTGAAGAATGGGATGATCTTAAACCAAGGTGTATGGTCAACTCAATTTCACACCATTGCATTTTGAAGGCATTATTCTTGAAACCATAAAAGCTATTGAAGAGGTAAAAGATTCACTTAGCCTTGAAGAAATCATTTCCAAGTCAATATTGTTAAACTTCCTTTTAATTTAGATGTGTACTATATATAAATATTGGGAGGTGCAAGAACTTATATTGGATGAAATGAAAAACCAGTCAGCCAGTTAAAGATGGCTCTGCAACTAGGGAGTTGCAACCCAAAAAAATATTGACATCTAATGCTACAACTGACTGCAACTGACTGCAACTGACTGCAACTGACTGCAACTGACTGCAACTGACTGTAATTGTCTGCAACCTCTGGTTGGTCAGCTACTTCAATTAAAGATGGCTCTGAAACTAGGGAGTTGCAACCCAAAAAAATATAGACATCTAATGCTGCAACTGTTGCAACTATCTGCAACTGTCTGCAACCTCTGGTTGGTCAGCTGCTTCAATTAAAGATGGCTCTGCAACTAGGGAGTTGCAACCCAAAAAAATATTGAAAAAGAAAAGGAAGTTTGAAGAAAAATAAACTTCTTAGTGTAATAAACATGTGTAATTAACACTACTTTGCTTAAATTTTTTCTTCTTGTC